GGGGGGAGGGGGGTGAAAGAGGAGGGGGGGGGGGGGGGGGGAGGAAAGGAAGAGGGGGGGGCAGGGGGGGCAGGAGCTGAAGGATGGAAAGATTCCTGGGGTCACAGCCTGAAGAAAAGAAGGGGGGAGACAGGGTGAGTGTTTTAAAAACACTCCTTTGTTAGCCTCACCCCCGCCCCTCCCCCGTCCACTACTGAGGGATCCCAGAACTTTTTTTTTAATATGGGGGGGGGTGGGTCGCACACGGCTCTGATCTTCTTCTGTGGTGTTTTGTGTTTCTCTGCAGGAGATGAGAGTTCAAGACATCGTCGCCAAACAGGTCTTCAAGAAAGTGAACTGAAGGACGAGAGGAAACAAAGAACCTGAAGCTCGTTAACCTTTTTCTGTTTTACATCTTATTGGACTAATTATGAAGGTCATGTGATGTCCGTCCCTCCGTCTGTCTGTGTATCTGTGTAAGAAGAAGAAAAAGGCGCTGGACTTCTGTAAACATCGTGAACTCCCCGTGTTCGTTTTCACGTCATCAGACGTCGATGACACATCTGTGACCTTTCTGCCGTCTTTGGTGACGAAAATGTCAACGTGAGTGTCAACGGGACGTGGAGTTGATAGTGGGGCGACCTGTTTATGATGTGTGAACATCAATCGGGGAGTGGGGGGGTGGAGAGGCGGATGACATTTACATATGGTACAGAGATAAATGAGACGACTCATGATGCCCCCTGCTGACAGGAAAGTGATCTGTAAACACGTTTGGAGCAACAGATGAAGGAAGGAAGGAAGGAGATGATCCCATTCCAAACAAATCCATGTCTTATCAAAGGCCGGGGCAGCAGCTGAGAAGACGAGGTCACAACCAAAGAAAATAAATAGAAGGAGAAAATCAAGAGAAAAATATCAGAGTATCATCAATGTATGTTTTTTGTTCTGAGTCTTAATTATTCACTGGAAGAAAAAAAAAACCCCACCGTTCCTCCTCCCCCCTCCAAGTTGAGACATTTACAACCCCCCTCACCCGCTTTCCACAATGGCTTCTTGCACTCCGATGGGAAGCCTGCAGAGACCACTGCCTCACTAGTTTGCTGGTTCAATTCCCAGTCTGAATTTTGTCCATATTTAAAAAAAAAAACAAATCACAATTTTCACAACAAAAACAGTAAACGTTTTATTTTTGAAGATTAAGGTAAAAAAAAAAAATATTTGTTAGGATTCACTTGAGTTTAACTTGAATTATCAACATTATTTTCACTTGTGATTTAAAAACCACGTGTAAAAGAACGTGGACAGTGTTCTCCTGGTCTGGTACTGACTTTTTTTTTTCATAAATATTGGTGCAGTTCGTCAGTCTTATTGCTTCTTTGTATACGTCACTTCAGGTGAAATTCTCACAAAACTCCAGCAGGAGGCGACAATTCGCCTTCTACACGTCTCCAGTAAGTGAAACCACCCGTTTCCTTGTATAAATAGTTACACTTAAAAGTTGATTTAAAAAAAAAAGTAAAGCATGTTGAAGAAGCTCCGAGTCTTAACTGTTCTTCTTTCAGTCAACGAGGAACGTTCATGTCTCGCACCACTCGTCCTCCTGTGGTTCTGAGGGGGTTCTCAGGAAGTTGTTGACACAGTGTCCAGCGCTGGGAAAAGAAAATTCCTTCAGGGATTTGATGGGAAAACTGTCCACGTCACTGTCACCGTCTGAGGAGGTAACAACAGTAAATACATGTCAGTTTTAAGGACCGGTTGGTCGGTACCAGCCGGGTCCACAGAACAGGACCCCGGCTTTAAAAACAGTGCTTTATAAAATGTTTTGCAGCGCCCCCTTGTGTAGATAGCATCATTATCTGGAACATTTACAGTTATTTCTTCAAACCTCACTTTATTTAAATTTGTAATTTATTCTAAACTGTCAACCAGAGAAAGGACGTCCACTAATGTCCACGTTGGTCCACGTCCCACTCAGTCCTGTTCATGATGGTCTTGGCCAGTACCTTTAACTGTACCGTGACTCTAGCGCCCCCTCTCTTTGGGGGACCGCTGCTTCACAGTAACTCTCTGTTCGATTATATTAAAACACGGCCTTCATGTAGAGACGATGACGTCAGCTTCAGGTGTTTGTTACCTGTTTGGAAAAGTGTTAATTTCATAGTGCAGTCTTCTTCGACGCCGCCCTCCTGGTAGTGACCGTTGCGCACCAGTGTCGGCAGAGAGACGTCCAATGAGGGGACAGGAACGACCTGCACCACCGGAACCGGAACACTGGCACTGGCTTTCACACAGAAAACACAACAAGGTAAAAATCTAGAAGTCAAAGGAACTATAGAAAAATAATACAGAAAAATATGTTTGTCATGTTTAAGAATGTTGATGAATCACAATCGCGATAAAGGATGTAACGATACACTCAACTCACGATTTTTTTGTACACAATACTTAAAAAAGACGGTTTTTAAAAGAAAAGTATTTTCTTCCTTTAAAAGAAGAAAACTACTTTTGGAGTTGAAATTGTTTGACAGACGCGTTGAAAACATTTCCTCGTAATCTTTCACCGTGACTTCGTTTTTGACTCATTTTAATCTCGACGCCGACTTCCTGTCATTGTAAACGCTTCTCGTGTAAATTCCACTACTTGCACCACTTCACTGGAAATGCAGTGAAGTGCAGTGCGTCAGTCCTGACATTCATTCATTCGTCTGTCTCAGAATGAGTGGCCTCTGAACCAGACGATGACGTCACAGCGCGTTCATCTACAGGATGTGGGTTCCACATCACAGTGTAATGCTGATGGAGCGCTTCTCCCTGCACAGCTCAGCCGACCTGTCACCACGACCACCATGTTCTCCGTCAAATCCATCACTTTACATCTGAACCTCTAATGAACTCCAGGCAAAACAAATTAACTTCTTTGGTTTTGTTCCTTGTTTTGTTCTTTTGAAATTATTTTTTTTTAAATTAAAAAAAAAAAAAACAGTTGGCGGTTTGGTACGAAGACGATGACCTAAATGTGTGTGACTTCAAACGACTCTCCGGCTCTAACCGCCCCCGGTGCTGAGAACTAACCAGAATAAAAGTGTGAGAAAGGAAAAAGAAAAAAAAAGACACAACAACACACTGATCCACCTGTTCTGTATGTCCTGCGTTTGAACCTCCAGCAGATGGCAACAGCTAACAAGACAAGAAGTGTGGTCAACACCAGACCGGACCACAGACCCGCCGGGAGTATCCAGGAGGAGTCTGGAGAGAGAGAGGGAGAGAGAGGGAGAGAGAGGGAGGTAACTGACAACCAGATCAATGCTGGGAAAACTGACAGGAAGTGAGTTCTTACTGAAACCTGTACAAATGTTTCAATTTTAATGAATGAATCTGATCACACTTCAGTGACATTAGAAGGTGGTGACTAAAGGTTGGAAAAGAAAAACTATTCATAAAAAGCTCTTTCCTCTTTCCAGATCTTACCACATTTATTACTACACGTGGCATCGGTTTTTGTGGTTCCTGAGACTGTTTGCTGTTTTCCAATATCTTTACATCTGAAAAAACAAAACAAAGAAGAATAAGAGAAAAAAAACAACAACTAATGAGACAGCGTTTGACAGCACGACTAAAAATCTTCGTCTTTGTTCATCTATGTATCAGTGACTGGCAGAAATATTACAAACTCATCCAGTAGGTGGCAACAGATGACTATAAAAACAGAGCCGTGAAGAAGATCTTGGTGCGTGTCTTTTTTCAATTCCTGCCTGTAAATCAGCATTGTGTTCAACTCAACAGGTCGGAGTGAAATATGGAGTTAGTACTTGACTCTACAGGAGCAACGATACGATATATTGCGATATACTGCGATACTACAGGCATGACAATATATTGAGTTTTTTTAAACAATGAATATTTGGTAATATCTGGTAATTGGTAGTAGTAAAATCACTGATGAAGAATATTGATACAGTATTGTGAAACTAAATATCGCGGTTATACCCCTAGTGGTGTATTGTGGGGTTTGTAGTTCACAACATGGCCTTCAAACTGAGGCTGTGTCTCACCTGGTGTGGTTTTTACACGGTGACAGGAAGTCCGTCACGTTGCTGTAGGTTCCTTGTTCACATGGTGCACAGACTGTGTCGCTGGTGCGAGTGGCTGCGGAGAGAAGTGGAATCTGAAGTCGTGTGTTCATAACTGAGGTGTGGACGCGGCCCGGAGGTCGAAGGAAGCTTACCTGCAACCTTGACTCCTTCACCTGGAGGACAGAGGGTCAGTAGGCGGCAGTAGTCACACCGGTCGTTGTCACAGAAATATCCCATCTTACACTCACACACGGTGTTCTTTGTTGCGGTACATGGTACCGCTGTTCTCTGGTTGGGATCTGAAACACATGGTCATGTGACCTCAGGGTTCAGTCTCTGTACAACAGCTGTGTTCATGTGTGTTGTTATAGTACAGCGAGTCGAGCGAACGAACGCTAACCCTCTTTAAAGTTTGTCTTTGCCTAAAGTTCGTACATGACGATCATGTGACGTCAGTCAAAGCAGCTCTAACTGTGTTTACTTGAACAGTGGTTTGTATGGACAAAGAAATGCACCAAAATTTCATATGAAAATAACCAGCCAATCCCAGCGGCCGTTGGATCATGGAGGGATACGCATAAACGTACATCCCATAATTCCACCGTCCATCCACTCATGCCGTTAACTTCAGGTACTGCAGAAAAGAGAAACCCAAAAAGAGCTCAACATTGCTTCCTAGTGGATGTGGGAGAATTTGCAAACAAAACCAGGACTTAGTTCAGACTGGACAGGAAGTTCTGATGACGCTCACAAAGCAGAAGGAGGATCAAAGAGCGGTGTAAAAACCTGAAACTAAAGGTTCAAAAAGATCGGCAGGAAGGTTCACTTTAGAACCTAAAGTGAACCTTCCTGCCTCTTTAGAAAGAAAATCTCAAGAACAAAGGATCTTGAAACGTTAAGTGGAAACTGGGTTCAGTCTCCACTGCAGGAGCTGAAGAAGTCACGGTGACGGAGCGCTGTGATCGAGTCGACGACAGTAAAGAAAACGTTGACAACGTCGAGCTCACTGACTCATAGTGAAAACACATCATGAAGTGATACGAGAAACATTTTGAAATATCGGTTGGTGACCTTTGTTTGAAGCAAACTGAGTGAGAGAGGGAGGGTGGGGGGGGGGGCGAGAAGTTCTTCAGCCCTCGCTTTCAAATTAAAATAATAAAAAAAAGAAACAAAACTGGCAGTGATTAGAATCAACAGTCTGGAGAAACTAGAACTAAAACCTGGGGTTATTATTGAGTGACCTTTGACCTTTGATGATACAGATGTTTCTGAGGCACAGCGTGTTTGAGTGAATTGAAATGATAAAAACAGAATTGTCTGACGTACCTGAACTACACCCGCTGCACACTTTGCAGGATTTGAGGTAATTTTCTGTGGCGGTGAAGGTTCCGTTTGCACACGTCTCACACTGTGTCCTGTTGGTGGCGTCACAGTCGGCCTTCACGAAGGTTCCTGTGAGAAACAGAATCAGAATTTATGTTGACACAGTGTGAACCCCAGTGTGAACCCCAGTGTGAACCACAGTGTGAACCATAGTGTGAACCATAGTGTGAACCCATCACCAAAGTGAACAGTGTGTGGGGACGGTGCCGGACCCAAGTCCACTTCTTTAACCACTAAGCCACCACAGAATTAATATTCATTTGAAACATCGTAGTACTGTTGTATGTGTACTGTTGAGTATCGTTGTTCATTTACATTGACCAGAGTGATGGCTTGTGGGTAAAAAAAACTGTTCTCGTTCACACAGATCTGCTGTTGTTTCCAAACAGTCATCAAAAAAAAAAACTGACCTGCAGGGCAGCGCTGGCAGCATCTCCCAGCGTCCCTGGAGAACATCTGCTGAGGGGAGCAGTCGACCTTACCCATGCTCCTCCTGTCAGGGGAACGGTTCTTTGTTCAAATCCTCTTGTGGCTCAACGCGCGGCACCGATCGCTGAGACGTCGTTGCGGCTCTGGCTCCAGGTACGCTCTGCGTCGGTGACGCTCTGCCTGTTCTTATCTGTGGTTCACGGTTCTCTGACTACATGTGTTTCCCCTTCACGTTCGCTCGTAGCTCTTCTTCACGTCTCTCTGATCCCACACAGTGGAAAACCCCACTGAGCCAAAGTGCTGCTCACTCGCTCTCTCTCTCTCTCTCTCTCTCTCTCTCTCTCTCCATCTACTTCCTTCCTGCATCTGGTGAAACGACGATGTGTGCATTTGTGTGTGTTTACAGTGCAGTGGGGTGTGTGTGTGTGTGTTTGACACAGCTTTTCATTTCACTCCATTTTACTCCTGAATATTTTTGATCAAAAAAATTGAGGGCAGATCAAAATCTTGTTTTTACAGATCAGTCGTTTTGATGTTTGTTTCTGAAGAAGAACATTTTCACTGTTACTTATTTATAAAGTTTTACAGTAACTTGCCTTACAGTAGGAGAGTCCCACCCTCTGCCCCAGGGGGCGCTGGTGGTCTGTCTGTATTTGGATGTTGTGTGTGTGTGTGTGTGTGGTAATGTTCTACAAAAACAAAATCAGTGGTTCCCAACCACTGTGCCGTGGCCCATCAGTGGGCCGTCAGGGAGCCATACTGTAGGTGTAAACTGTAATACAAGATGTTGCTCTTGTGGTTCAGTGAACAATATATGTGAGAGTCGGGGGTGAGAGTCGGGGGTGAGTCACAAAGTCAAGTGTCAATATCACTCTAATGAAGATTTGTTTCCGCAAAGTCATCAGTTAGCGCTAACGAAGAGGAGTTCCTAATAAAGAACGTCGTCACGTAGACCTGACCTACAGTCTGGATCAGGTCTGGATGGTTCTGGATCTACACCAATATACTGTGTATGTTCAGTCACTCTATCATCATCATCATCATCTGGACAAAAACACGTCAAGAGGAAAATTAGTGGAAACAAAATTATTTATTTATTTATAAATATTTAGCCTTTTGTAAAAAGTTTCTATTTTAAAAGTACATTTTAAAAAGCAAACATTGTTTATATATTTTTTAAAAATACTAGGTTAATATTTTTCCTAATAAAACTTTTTGTTTTTTGTTCATCGATTATTTATTACCTTTTTATTTATTTTATTTCCAGTTTAAATGTATTTTACTTGTTTAATTTGTTAATTTAAGTCCATCGCGGACGTCATGTGTTTTGTAAATTTTGGGCAACAGTTTATTATTATTTTTCCTGTTCGTGAATTCTTCTCACACTTTCGACACTTTTAATGTCGCGTGAAAACCTGTTGTTTCTGTGTAACCGTAGGGATTGGTGACTCGTTGCTGGTTCTCCTCTCTGATTGGTCAATCCCGCTGCAGTTTTATTTTTTGTTTTTATTTCTCTTCTTCAGTCCTAGTTTTTATGTTCGTCATGTTTTTATCGCGTGTTTTTGTTTCGTCACAAGTCAAGTTTTTAAACCGTTCGGTGACGGTAACACGACGATCTGGGATTAAATACCGAAATCAAAAGTGAAAGTGTGGAGCGTCGTCGTGTTCGCTTCACTTTTAGTTTGTTTCCTGAGATGAGACTAAAAAACCCAGACGTCAGGACGATGATCCGGATCATTCTGTCCGGATTGTTCACAATTCTCATAAATGGTAAGATTTTATTAAAAAACAACGTTACGGAGATCGACGGGAAAATAGTTCTGATGTGGAACCGATGTATTAATGATTTGTTCTCAAACTATGGCCCGCGTAGCACTGCTGGTGCGCGGGTTTCCTCTGGAGAATTCTGGTTCCCAATAGAACGGAGTGAATAAGATAAAAAAAAGAGAAAAGCTGCAGCACGTTCTTGCTTATGTTGTGTGTGTGTGTGTGTGTGGGGGGGGGGGTGGCAGGTGCACCAGTTGTGGTACGTACCCCTAGTGGCATGGAGGAAGGCAGGAAAATGGAGGTTGAAAAATATCAGACCAGTGTCTCAGACCAGCGTCTCAGACCAGCGTCTCAGACCAGCGTCTCACCTTCTTGTCCTTCGTCTCCTTCAGCTGCTGGAGCCGCAGACGTGGTTCTGAAGTGTGAACTGGTGGAGGACGGTGCTGGGCGGGGGTCGGCCTTCGTACACTCTCCTGCTACTCTGGTCCTGAGAGATGTTCCAGTTACACTCGAAGACTCGGAGGAAACTCTCCCCCCGTTTGTTCCCCCTCCATTCCCTGTCCCGGACCTCGTCCTGATCGAAGTTGAAGGTTTTTGTCTCTTCTTTATTCCACACCTTGTGTTTGACTCGCTGAAGTACCAGGAGGTCAATGTGTTCAAATCCCTCTTTGGCAGCATCATCAGTTCACATCCCCAACGCCGAGGTGCTGCTCCACGCAGACTGTAACGAGCAGGAAGTGATGTGTGAGATTAGCCGCTACGCTACCACTGGTCCCAGGGAAGACCCAGACCCGGTGTACTTCATAGTGACACTAACTGTAGGTGGCGCCGAGGTCAGCACCTCCCTGATCTTACGGACCCTGACGGTGGAGAAGAATCACCTGACAGTCGTCCAGAAGAACCTGGGTCTGCCCCTCAGCCCCCGCGGTTCTCTGCTGACCAATGGTGACGCGTGGTTTTTTTCATGATGAAATATTTCCTGTTGATCGCAGGAAACACTGCGTTTAATCGACGTCTCTACTTCCTGTCCGCAGTGGTATTCCTGGTTTTCTCCCTGAGAAAACTCGTGTCTTCTTCTCTGGGAGACGACATTCTCCTCGACTGTGGATTCAAACACGACGACGCGAGTCGGACACAGGAAGTGGACGTGGAATGGCGACTGCAGCACAGAGGAAAAGGACAGAGAGTGTTTGAAATGAGGACGAGGATGGAAGGAGACGCAACCGTAGGTGGGTGATCGTGTGTGTGTGTGTGTTTCCAACAGTGACGGCAGAAATAAAGTGTCTTAAAACTTATTGACTACCTACAAAGTGTTTTTTTGTGTTTTTTTTTTCAGTGTACTCAGAACGGAAGAACTCGAGTGTCGACGCCGCCCGTGTGGTTGCGCAGGGGAACGTGTCTCTGACCTTGAACAGAGTGAAGGTCACTGATGAGGGGATGTACATCTGCTCTGTCACTCTGGGAAAGTTCCAGGCCCAGCAGACCATTCAGCTGTTTGTTCAACGTACGTCTTTCACCGACTCAACTCGTCTTCACTGTTTTTCATTCAGTCTGTGAGTGTTTTTTTCTTTTTTACAGAACCACCTCAGGTTTCCATCTCAGAGGAGAAGCTGGTCCTCAGGACGGCGTCTCCACAGGTTCTCCGTTGTCACTGCAGCAAATATTACCCACTCAGCGCTCAGGTTTGTTGTTTAATTACCCCAAACTGATGACACGGGGGTGGGCTGTTAGGGTTTAATGTAATGAAAATGTTTTTTTTTTGTTTTGTTCTTTTATTGTCTGAAATTGTTTGGTTTTTTTGTTGTTGTTTTATGAAAAATTAATTTAGAAAATAAATGAAAAAAACATTGTTTAGGGTTAGGGCTAGGGTTAGAGGTCAAATCCAAAAAATATTAAAAAATAAAATAAAAGTAAAAATACACAATTTTAAAATAAGTTAAAATAAAAACTGAGAAACATAATGTAGAGAATTAAAATTATGAACAAACACAGAGTTAGAGTCAGGGTCAGAGTTACATTTTTTTTCTGTTTATGTTCTGTTTAAATTCTTCTCATGTCTGTCCCTAACCCTTACCCTGTCTTCCAGATGGAGTGGTTCTCCCTCTCTCCCACTGATACAGAACCTGTCGTCTTTCCAGATCAGGGTTCTCTGTCCAGCCATCGCCAACACAACGACGGAACCTTCTCTCTGTCCTCTCACCTGGTTGTACCATCAACCCTCACCCCTGGTACCAAAATAATCTGCAGAGTGTCTCACCCTGCTCTGGACGCTCCTGTCTCTGTGAGGACAGAGGTTGAAGGTTCAGAACCCGGTAATTGGATTTACATTTGTCCTCAACATGTTCATGACTGTAGGCAAAGGAATCATGGGAATTATTTGGTGGCACAATCAGAATGACACAAACAGTCCTCACCTGGTAAAGTTAAGGATTCTGAACCGTTTTTCTCTCCTGCACCAAGTCTCACAGAACACAAAACAGCAAAGTCGCCCTCTACTGGACATACATGAGCATGATTTAGTTTGTTTTATTTGAATCTCTAACATCTGCTCTTGTCTTTCACTCCACAGATTCCTACTGGTGGTTTGTGGGTTTCCTCATCATCACTGTACTTTTCTTCTACCAGGTTATGAGATAGGTCAAAGGTCAATTTTGAGCTGGATTTTGTTTGTTTTTAGAATTTGCCTCCGTGGTTTGTATGGAAGCCAATTTCAGTCACTTGAAAAAAATAATACGTTAAATTAATAAGTTAAAATAACAAGATACTAACTCATAAAACTGAGAAAGTATCTGACGGGCTTCCATGAACTCACACCGTGTTGAAGGCCACTAAGAAGCAGGAAGTCGAAAACCCTGTTTCATACTTGAAGACAACTTGTTCACAACAGTTCAGGAGCCACGAGTGACACTGGGTTTTAGGAACAAGCTGATCCTGCAGTCTGTGGAGCACAGAGAGCCAGTGGAGTGAAGACAAGAACCCCAGCAACAATGAATATAAAACCCCATCTTTTCTCTGGCAAACTTTGACTTCAAACCGATTCCATTTTTATGAAACTTTCAATATATTTGGATTAAAACAAAGGAAAACAATGACTTCAATTAGAAAAGCAAACTATTGAAAATGTGAAAAACACGTGGTTGTAAAATCAATTACAATAAAACAAAACAAAAAACTAGCCAGTACTCTCTTTCTTTATTGAGTTGTTTTGTCAATTTAAAGCTGGACGCTGGATGTTTCCACGTTCCAAGACTCGACACACGTCACCTGAAACTGTAAGTTGAATAGAGTTTAGTAGAAAAAAAAAATTAATTGAGAAAACACAACGGAAATACCTTATTTTGAAATGGTGCTGCTGTCGGAAGTTACGGTCAAATGCGCTGACACTAACTTGACAATAGGGTTTCGCTCTTCTCTTTGTCAAAGGACTGACTTCCGTTTTCATGTTTTCACCAGCTTTCTAGAAAACTCTACTGACTCCCACAGCTGACGCGGTTGAAAACAGACAGCGACGAGTAGTTTGAGCTGCCGCGTCGCAGTCACTTGAATCCCCTGCGTTTCTACCCCGAACATTATTCAGTTTTATCCTTGAACAACGCTAGTGTTTACCGAGCTAGCTGGCTAGCGTTAGCCAGCTGAGTTTCACATCGGCATGTTTCGCTTCATGAATGACGTTGATGACGACCTGGACATAATGTAAGTGGCCATATAAATTATGACGCGTTTACTTTTATTTGACCGTGGTTTTGCAGAACCAATTTTATTGCCTTCAATACATTCTCCTACAAAAGGTATGTTTTATTGACTGAAGCCAGCTGTGCTGGGGGCCTACGGTGGTCCACCATATTGGTAGAAAAAAAACCCCTATCAGAGCTTAGAATGATAAATTGACATGTTTCTACTTTATATTTAAAATGTATCAATTTTATTTATATTCAAGAAAATTCACATATAAAAATATTATTCGGCTCTTATTGAAAAATGTTATTTTCGACCGATCTGTACCGAACAGTATCATAACAATTACAGTTATTATGGTACTCAAAATCAGTAACATTTTAAACATTGACTCTTTTTCCCCCACTTATTAATTGGAGTGTTGTCCGTAAGAAATGATAATAATATTTATGTGTGTTTGTAATTTCTTTATCAGAGGCAAATAATTCAGGTAACCCACAGGTCAAACTGTGACCTTGACCTTGTGTTCATCTGAGATAACCAAAAACACCAGGTCATAACAGGTGTTTTAGTGTGGAGCTCAGGTCACCCTGGATAATTCTAGGTGACTCAGGACTTAGGTCTTAGTCTAATCCATCTGTTCCTTTAATCAGTTCTATCTGATCTGAACTTCCACAAATGTTATTAAATCTGAAAAATTAAATGGAATTACAGTATTCACTACGCCGTTATAGAGGTATCTGGTGTGCAGAAATTCCAGAAGAATGTTTAAAATGTTTAACAGTAAATAAAAAAAAAAGTTAAACTTGGACTACATTTCTTGCAGGGATCCATTCGCAGCTCACAGGCAGCAGATGAGTCTGTTTGCACCCTTTGGTATGGACCCTTTTGCTCTTGCTACTTCCCAGATGCAGCCACATCGTGCACCACGTAGACAGGTAAGGCACGACACCACAGTGTAGTTAGTTAGTTGGTTAGTTATTAGTTATTGTAAGTGAAATTTAAAACAATAAAATAATGTCATTGTTTTTCTAGGCTGGTCCACTGACCCCGTTTGGCATGATGGGCATGGTAGGTGTTATTTTTATTTACATGAAATTGTGCCGATTGTTTTACATCTGACCACATTATTCTGCAGACATTAATAGTCATCAGTGGTTCACAAATTATTATTCTGATAAAATAACATTTACATAAAAATGCTGTAGTAAACAAATGCAAATGATTTTGACCCGGTGTGGCTCGGATTGTTGTCTGAATATACACAGTGATATTTGTGTTTTATCATCTCATTGCAGAAAGGCTTTCCTTTTGCTTTAGTTCAACCAGTAGATGATAGTCATTGAACTGAAGTTTATTTTTTGACTTCTCATGTTTTGCTTTAACACATCTTAACTCGAAACCAGAATAAAATAAAACCTTGTGCCATTTATTTTTCCAGGGCGGAGGATTCATGGATATGTTCGGCATGATGGGAGAAATGATGGGAAACATGGTGAGTGAGTCCTGTCGTCCTGTCATTTTCAAATAAACAGGAGTATATTTATGTATACATACACGGTACTCAGTTTCATCTCCTGGTTTGTTTTTGTATTCTTACAGGGAAGAATGTCGGGCTCACCCAACTGTCAGACGTTCTCCTCCTCCACAGTCATCTCCTACTCCTCGTCAGGAGCAGGAGCTCCTAATGTTTATCAGCAGACCCAGGAAACCAGAGCCGGCCCTGGAGGGGTGAGAAAAAAAACTTGATACCAAATGAAGTAAGAGTATGTACAGTACACGAAACTGAGACGGGCCTTTTGGTCTTAGTAGTACCTTTGACAATGATGATTTGTAGTAACAATAAGTACACCATGTATACTGTAAATGTCAGTGTTGTTTTCTAAACACATCAGAGCGAGTTGAAGAGTGCAGCCGTGACTCTGACCTGCTGATATAGAATGGTATTTTGTTTTTTTTTTCAACCTTAGATCCGTGAGACACGGCAGTCGGTCAGGGACAGCGAGAGCGGCCTAGAGCGACTCGCCATCGGCCACCACATCGGGGATCGCGCCCACATAATGGAACGCTCAAGAAATCGCCGCACAGGAGACCGTGAAGAGCGACAAGACTTCATTAACCTCGATGAAAGTAAGTCCTTCAGGTTGAAGACATTCACATGTCTCTGAAAGAACAACAAACTGTCTATATATTATTCATCGTATAAATTACTAAGAGTAATATATAGATTTTTTTGGAATTTATTTCTGTTTTCTCTAATGTGTAATGTAGTTATTATTTAATTTTATTACAAATACACAAAAAATACATTTATTATAATATAAACTAATAATCAACTCCAATCAATTACGAAATTATTTGATTAATATTTTGCTGTTTTAAAAAGTTACATTTTCACATATACATTTACATTGTTGTTATTTCTTCATAAATATTATTAATTAATGATTTTGACTTGTCGATGTTCTCAGGTGAGGCCGATGCATTTGATGAGGAGTGGAGACGGGGGGCGGGGCGGTACGGTCCCCCAGGCGCTCGGGGGCTGGAGTACCGAGATCGACGGGCAGGAGGTCAGCAGCTGGCTCTGACTGCTCCTCCCAGCTCAACACCTCCATCAGGCCATCGGCATGAGTCTCCCCGGCACCGTCAACCCCATACCCGACCACGCTACGACTGGTGAGAAGGTGAGAAGGACGGGAAAAAAGCATGAAAATAAAAATGAAGATTTAGTATGAAAACGTAACTCAGTCTCACACATCTGTGTTGGTCCTGTCTCTGCAGGTTTACACCTGAGGAAGCAGGTGTTCTGGATGGAGTTAAAGGAAGATTCCCATTATGCTGTGAACAAGGTTGAAGACGACTTGACGCCTGGCGTCAATGTTTGACTTGACTGGACTGTCGATATATAAACAACATTATACACAACACATCACCATCTTCATACATCTGATTAACATTCACAGTACAACTTATTTTCTGTTACATAGAAAAAAAACCACGTGAGCGCAGGTTGACGGGAAAGCACACTTTATTTACACACATTCTGTAGACGTGTGTTTTGGAGGCAGCGCTGCGTCTGCTCTACGGTCCATTTTGTTTGTAAAGACACCAGTGTGTCAGTGAATTGAAATGCATTCTGTTAATCTAACTAAATAAAAGTCAACTTAAACATTGTTAGATATTTGTTCGATGTGTCTTTGTTGAATTTGCTGTTTTTATACAATTTTTTTACTGGATTATTTCTGCCCTGGATTCAAATCTTCACTGATGGAGTCTCAAGTCACTCAAGTCATTTGTTTGTGTTATTGATGTTTGCCGAATGTTTTACGGAATAAAGGTTGTACCAGAGTAAGTGCAAAATCGTATCGTGTACGATTAATTGTCAGAAAAACTGTCCTCAGAGAATATTTGCTACTTCGCTACCATTAGTTCGGCGTTACTAAGGTTGCCAACCGTCAAGTCAACTGTCAATGAAATTATCGAATACCACGACGCTTTATATGAAAACTAACGCGTCCCGTGTTTAAGTAAGGGAGTCAACGATCCTGTGCGTGATGATGACGAATATTTTGTGCGACGCACTTTTACTATCGCCGGCAAACGCACCTATACACTCGTTTAATTACTGTTATCACAGCCACAAAGCGCGGGAGGTTTTGAACTTCTCCACGTTGCATCCCGTTTACGGAGAACGCAGCGTTATCCGCCACAAAACTTCGTCTACGCATGAATGCAAGACCAAATCGGCGTTATAGCCCCTGTATCCGTAGTCATAGCGCCGTGTAAACTCCTTAGGAGATAACGCGGGCTGTAGCTTGTTGCATTGCTAACGATATGCTGCCGCTACACCTTGTGGAAAAGGCGTGTTTCCAACGGCTAATGAAACACAGTGGAGCCGAGATACGGTTAACCGTCCAGGAAACATTCACAGAAGGTCAAACCCGAGACGTATGAGGTAAAAACCAGTTTTATTGACACGTTTCATCTTAAATTAGTCGTGTAATTTCCATTGTTGCGGTAGCTGCGTTTATTTTTCACGTGTAGACGGTGCCCTCTTGTGGCTAGATGATATGTTGTTGCTATAAATCGCTTTGGATGAGAGACTGAGACAGTATAAGGAATATACATACAATGTTATATAATTGAGTAACTAAACGGATAGATTTTGTTTTTTAAATCTTGTTACCGCTAACGTTAAAAATATGTATGTTTGTTGGTCTTCTTAGTCAGGCTATTTCTTAAAATGTCTCCAATTTTCCCGCTCCTAGATTTTTAGTCTAATTTCCTTTTACAGTCGTTATGATTGGTTATCTGTGTAGATGCCCCGCCTTTCATCCAACAAGCAAAGCTCCGATTGGCTGTTGTCCTTATTCTGTCTGCCGGTTTACATCAGTCTACGGTCCTGCCAGTTTTGTTGACTCGTTTTTAATAGGTCACTAATGTATCGATTTATTATTGTATTTACGCAGATTTAAACTGTTTGTTTTGTTAATCAGTGTTTGTCACTGCATTTTTTTTACACTCTACATCCAAATGGAGGACACAAGTGGGGCAGCTAATAAAAAAATAAAACAAATGACTTGTACAGTAGGACCACTGACTCCCCCTCCCGTACTCACTGCTGTATCTTTAACAATCTCAGCTATTTTTAAACCTTGCCCCTCCTCCTCCTCCTCTTCCTCCTCCACCCCTCCGTTACCCTGCACTGCTGCCAACACCTGTCTCCCTGTCTGCTTTAATCTCCATCATTAGAGCTGCTCTGATTTGACGGCTGGTTTGTTCGTCTGTCAGACACTTCCTCTTCATCCTGGTGTGGGTTTGATGTTTGTCGCCTGTCATGACGTTGGATTTGATTTCAACAACAAACCCCAGTGTTTCAGTGGTAAAACAAAAACAGGTTGATGAGGGTTTGTGTCTGTGGCTGCAAACAGCAACGCAACAGAGAGGATGATGGGAAATAGGAAGACGCTTCAGTGCACAACATAGCTGCAGACATTTTTCCCCCTATAGATGTGACTTGTCCTGCGTCCATGTCTTCCGGTGACTCACATGCTCCCCCTCCCTCCAGGGTGTCACACATTTCCACCCCTCCTCCTCCTCCTCCTCCTTCTTCCTCCTCTTCCGTTCTGCCTCCTCTCACCATCATTCGCTCACTTTCTGCACCAGGCTTCAAACACACTGCAGGTAACATTTAAAAAGATTGATCTATTTCTCTATCCCCTCCATCACCCTAACCTCCCACCCTCCTCCTCTCCTCTTCTCCTCGGTCTGTTTCTCCTCGTTCTTTTTATCTCCCTGTACCTGTGTTTTCTTCATGGTCTCACGTCTCCACTGGTCCACGTTCACAGTGACAGACTAAAACCAGGCAGAAATCAAACAGTCGTTTTGTTTACTGTGACGGGAGATTCATAAATAGGTAGAACTCTGTGTGTGTGTGTGTGTGTGTTTGTGTTTGAACATGACATGCCGCCATCCTGCTTTTGGCAGGTTTTCCACAGCTTTCATCCCTAAGGCTGCAGCAAAGTCATCGGTGTATGAGAAGAGCAGGAACACAGTGTGTGTGTGTGTGTGCGTTTTACATTTTCCTCTTACATCATTTTGCTCAGGCTCCTCATTTTCAAAGAAATACAAATCACGGTGATCTGCACCGTGATTTGTATTTCTTACGAGTACTAAATTGTCATGTAGTACCGATGGGTAAATACTACACGTCTGTGTTTCTGTGACAGGATGTCCATCGTCAGTATCTTTGCCAGGGAGATCCTGGACTCCAGAGGAAATCCTACAGTGGAAGTCGATCTTCACACAGACAAAGGTTCAAATGTGTTTTTGTTTCCACATCAGTTGTGTTTGTGTCTGACAGAAATCGCTGCTTCCACTGACTTCCTGTTGTTTCTCCTTCTTCACCTGCACCGATCTCCCAGGACTCTTCAGGGCTGCTGTGCCCAGCGGTGCGTCCACTGGCATCTACGAGGCCCTGGAGCTCCGAGATGGAGACAAGACTCGCTACAAGGGCAAAGGTCAGAACGCTCGGTACCGATTGTCTCCGTGTTGTTGTTTTCTTCCCCTGTCATTGTCCACTCATCCCCCTCCTGTGCTGCATTTGTAGGTGTGACCAAAGCTGTGGGTCACATCAATGACACCTTGGGACCTGCCCTGGTGGAATCGGTGCGTATGACGGCAAATTCACAAGACGAGTGTGAGGAGACTATGAAATGAGGACAGGTTACTGAGGTGTTACTGGTTTGTTCCAGGGAGTCAGCGTTCTGGAGCAGGAAACACTGGACAACATGATGATCGAAATGGACGGCACCGAGAACAAATGTAAGACTGTGTCATATGATGATGATGATGATGATGATGAAGACGATGATGATGTACATGTATAAACAAACCTGTACTGTGTGAATCATCTCTGTGTTTTTCAGCTAAGTTTGGGGCCAACTCTATCCTGGGAGTGTCTCTGGCCATATGTAAAGCTGGTGCTGCAGAAAAACAGGTCCCGTTGTTCCGTCACATTGCTGATCTTGCAGGAAATCGAGATCTGGTTCTGCCCGTTCCCGTGAGTCTTTGGTTTCTCTGCTCGTATCACGCATGAGCGCCGATCAATGGAAGAAAGTCAAGCAAATATTTTGCCTTGACCCTTTTGACCTTTGCTTCCAAGGAACTTTGGAGACAACAGTAAACTGACACAGACTCCCCCTGTGCCCCCCGCCCTCCTTGTCCCCTCCCTCTCAGGCGTTCAATGTGATCAACGGGGGCTCTCACGCTGGTAACAGACTGGCCATGCAGGAGTTCATGGTACTTCCTGTAGGGGCGGAGTCCTTCCGTGATGCCTTGCGTATGGGGGCGGAGCTGTATCAGACTCTGAGAGGTGTCATCAAGGAGAAGTACGGTCAGGACGCAACAAATGTGGGCGACGAGGGGGGGTTTGCCCCAAATATACAGAATAACTGTGAAGGTAACCATGACGACCGTCCACTGAGGAACGTCTCTGTTTCCAACACCTGACGTTTATTTCACGCCCTTCTGTGTCTCCTGCTCCTCCTCAGCCCTGGAGCTCATCAAGACGGCCATCGAGAAGGCGGGCTTCACAGACAAAGTGGTGATTGGCATGGACGTGGCCGCGTCCGAGTTTTTCATCGAGGGCAAATACGACCTGGACTTCAAGTCTCCTCCCAACGCCGCCCGAAACATCAGTGCTGAGGAGTTGGCCGCCATCTACCAGGGCTTCATCAACAACTACCCAGGTGTGTGTGTGTGTCAGTGAAACGGTTTTATATTTTAAAATCCATGAACGAACGAACGGCAGAAAGACAGAGGCAACAAATCCCCTCAGCCTGGTCTTCACTCGGGGCAGTTGTTCAGGAGGTTTTAATTCTGCCCTGAATAAAGATCTGGTTTACCCTGTCAGTGTGTTTCTGCTTCCTGGGCAACAGCATGTGTGTATCTGTTAGTTCCCTCTATGAGATGATGATGATGATGATGAAGTCATCGTCCATACACACTCACACTGGTCTTTGTCCCCTCAGTTGTGTCCATTGAAGATCCCTTCGACCAGGACGACTGGCCTGCGTGGTCACAGTTCACAGCGTCAGTGGGGATCCAGGTGAATGATGTCTCTAATCCAATGTTTTTAGGAGCATACTGCCACCTACTGTAGTGGAGTGTGTAGTGTCATGGTATGACCAGTGACTTTCTGAGATAACTCAGTCTAGTCCTTATTTCAATTGATGAGAATTGTCACGGATTTGTATCGATCTTTAACCCGTTCACGACACGTCGTTACATCCTGATTCAGAGGTTAAAGTAATCTAGGGATGCAGCTGAATTGTGCGTCACTCCTGTGATGAACTACTGTATCTGTGTGGTGAACATCTGTAGGTGGTCGGAGACGATCTGACCGTCACCAACCCACGCAGGATACAACGAGCTGTGGAGGAAAAGTCCTGTAACTGTTTGCTGCTCAAAGTCAACCAGATCGGCTCCATCACCGAGGCCATCAAGGCGTGAGTCCATGTTGAGCACAAGTCAGTCTGTCTGTGAGCTACTGCTGCCCCCTGGTGGATAATTACTGAAGTGATTTACACATTAGAGCTCGTAGTGAGGTATTCAAACTGTTCTTTAACAGCTGTAAATTGAGCAGCGAGATTGGAGGAGAAACGCTGTAGTGGTGGGAAACGAAAGAGCTGAGGGTGAAAATAACACGTAAAATCAAAGTAAAACAAATAATAAATAAAATGTTATCACTGAGGGGGTGTTATGTCAGCTGATAGAAGAGCTCTGACCTGAGGAGGAAGTAGAAGAGTTTTTTTTGTTTCTTTGTTTTTGTCAGTCTGGTGTTTCACCTGGTGTTTCACCTGGTGTTTCACCTGGTGTTTCACCTGGTGTTGACGGCTGCCTCTCTGTGTCAGGTGTAAGCTGGCTCAGGAGAATGGCTGGGGGGTGATGGTGAGCCACCGCTCTGGAGAAACTGAGGACACTTTCATCGCTGACCTGGTGGTTGGTCTGTGCACTGGTCAGGTACGGTCACACACAGGAGGGTGGGGAATAAACAATGAGTTCATGTAGAGATCAACACTGCCCTGACACAACAACAACAACAGTAACAATGAAAACGACTGTAGCTGTAACCTTAGCTGTTCTTATTAACAATTCATTTGTCTTTTTTTCTGCAGATCAAGACCGGAGCTCCCTGTCGATCAGAGCGTCTGGCAAAATACAATCAGCTCATGAGGTGAGTGAAATAATAAATAATAAATATATCTTTAATGGAGGGAGTATAGCAAACATTGTCTTTGTTTTTTTTGGAGGAGGTTTGAGAATTGAATTGAATGTCTTAGAACTTTTTGACTTACTTATACTGTATATCCGGCGGTACTGAAGTACATGGGTGTATTGTACATTGTACTATGTAATTTTCTTCATCCCACTCTTCATTTTCCACCATCATCACTGCTGTTGTCGTATCTTCATTTCAGGATCGAGGAAGAGTTGGGGGACCACGCCCACTTCGCTGGACACAACTTCCGTAACCCCAGTGTTCTCTGAGTGCCGGTGCCGTCCACAGTAACGTCACGCTAATCGATGCATTTCACCAAACGTTACGAGGCACAGATGCCTATTTGTCAAAAATATGCAGTCAGACACACGTCACAGAAAAACAAATACTAAACACCTTTCACTGTAGCACCGTCGTAACTAACATTTAGCAGGTTAGGACTGTTCATCTGAGCCTAAAGAGACACGTCACAGACCAGTAGTTGTTGTTGTTGTTCTGCTGATTTCTCCAATCACCTCGTCATGATTCACTGTAGATGTTTGGTTTGTTCTCCTTGTGTTGAATATATTGTAATATTAGTCAGACTACTGCAAACTGTTTGTGCTTCCTGTCCAAGGTGAGTGTCAAGAAACTGATCAATACATGTGAATATAAATCAGAGGTGTACCGTGTTCTGATTGGGAACTGATGTTTGTTTTTTTCCAGCTACTCCTACTCCCTCTAACGCATACGTGCCAACTGTACTGATGTACACGGTACTGTACCGATTTTAGACCAAACATACCGCCACCGGCCGATAACGTACTGCGTTTGAAATGTTCGCTTTAAGTTTTACCGTGAAAGAGCAAAACCTAAAACGAAAAAAAGAACACAGCTTCATAAAACCGTCTAGGAAAGGTGAAAACTAAGCATTTTGTGAAGTGTCGGTTCGATTTCACGCTGGCTTTTCTCTCTTTTATTAATCTTAATGTTAAAATTTTGACAACTTAATCTCGTATTATGATCATTGTATCTCAAAAACATGCAGATAAATAATATTCAGAGATAAATATATAAAATATTTGGTTACAAAAAACTTGGTAACGTATGCTATGCTAACGGACTAATTTAACAACACGGAGACACGAATAAAATATATATGTTGTAATAACGACCTTTTTTTTTTTTTTAAATAAAACATTCAATTTAATCTGACATGAGTCGCTGTCGCACCACAGATAAGCTACAGGAGCTCGTCATTACACAAAACGTACAGCAGAGGGCGCGCTGGGGGCGAGTTCACTGACCTTACGGGGGTGGAGATGACGAAGAGGTGCAGCGCA